GCCAGCCTTCTCGTTAGCAGTCAAATGCCTTAGTCACTATGCCAGAAAGGTATTCTAAAAAACCATCTGTGTGAGACCAAAAGGTCAACACTTACTCTGAAAACAAAGATGAGAAGACAATGGGGTGGGAGAAACTACAATACTAGAAATGAAACCACCATGACATAGTTAAAGATAATGTTGACACACTTTGAAAAATGAACTAACATCATTGAACAATTTGTGTGGAAAAGATAAAACAGGAACCTAACTTACCACATAAAATTTTACCAAAACATTATTAAAAAAGAAAGGAGACAACCTACTTCTACAACGGGATAAAATATGTGGGAACCATGTATCTGATAAGGGTATAACTCCTACAATTCAACAGCAAAAAGACAAACAACCCAATTAAAAAATGGACAAAAGATATGAATAGACAGACATGTCTCTGAAGAAGATATACAAATGTCCAATATGCACATGAAAAGATGCTCAAGATTGGTCATTAGGAAAATGTAAATCAAAACTATAATAAGATACCACTTTACACTTACTATGATGGCTATTATCAGAAAAAGGAATATAACAAGTTTTGGTGAGAATATGGAGAACTGAAATTCTTGTAAATTTCTAGTGGTAAATTAAAATGATGCAGTTGCTATGGAAAACAGTTTGGTGGCTACTCAGAAAGTTAAACATAGAATTACTGTATGACCCAGAAATTCTATTCCTAGGTACACACAGACAGACTTGAGAGCAGAGACTCAAGCAAATACATATCAACCAATGCTCATTATAGTATTGTTCACAGTAGTCAAAGATGGAAACAACCCAATTATCCATCAAGATGAACAAATAAAGTAAATGTGGCATGCACAGGTAGTCCCCGACTTACAATGAGTGTTCTGATGACTGTTTTAAGTTGGTATGATTTAAATACCTATTTTTTTTTTAGTTTACATTATTATTGCTCCCCCCGCCCATTTTTTATATATTTTTGTTGTTAGGTGCCATCGAGTCGTCTCCAACTCATAGCGACCCCATGCTCAGCAGAACAAAACACTGCCCAATCCCGCACCAGTTCCATGATCCCTGCTATACTTGAGCTCATCATCGCAGGCACCATGTCAATCCATTTCAAAATCAGGAAATCAGCACTAATACTGTTACTATTTAATTTACAGAACTTATTCAGATTTCACCAATTGCCTCATCAACATCCTTTTTAGCTAAAGAAAAAGAAATATTCAAGGCCCAATGCATTTATTTGTTAGACACTTTGTTGTTGTTGCTGTTAAGTGCCATCGAGTCGTTTCCAACTCATAG